CTTCTTAAAATGATTTATTAACAATTATAGGTGTGAAGAATATTCTTTTCTATATCACATGAAAAACAAAGTTATCTATATCTGTGGAATAAAGCTGTCTCTATAAAATAAACCTTAAAGAGATATGGTAGAAAATGCTCATCATTTTAACCATGTAAGTGTTTAAGAGAAAATAGCATCCAAGAGGAAGGAGGCTTTCAGGAGACAGACAATCAATCGGAGGAACTTAATCATAGTCCCCTAGCCTAAGAGCGAGAAAGAGATACACTTACGGTGTTTATAAGCCTCTCTGTCTGAAGTAATGTTTGCATAGATGTCTGGACAGATTATTAACACCAGCCAGCTACATGACCACACCTAAAAGCCACCTGCTTGTTACAAGACGAAATGTCTTTCAGACAAGCTAGTTAGTCATCAGCTACTGCAATTCCTCTTTCTCGCCTAAGAACAATGAGGAAATGTTAGCATTTAATGCTTTTCCATTAAGCAAACAGACAAAAATGTAACTGAGTCCTCAATCATACATTTTATATGAAGTCTTTCCAAACAGTGGCTAAGTAAAAGCAAAATTAGTAAAGATGCTAAGAACTGATATATGTTTTAAGGTCTGTGTACTTTTCAAAAGTTACTGTTACCATAGCCTAGACCATAAACTCAAATGGCAAATTTTTGACCAAGGACTGGCTGTTGAAGTCAAGATGTGTCAGCATACAGTAATCATGATCAAGACAGTAATAGCTGGAGGCGAGTTCTTACTGATAGAGTCACTTCTATTGCTAAACCATATCCTCCAAGCTTTAGGAAGCTATACAGTTTGTCAAACAAAAATAAAAAAATCAAAGACAATAAAGTACATATTTAAAAGTATATGGTCATACACTCCCAGAATAACACAAGAGTTAAAAATTCAAAACAAAACCATCCTCAAATGAGATATAGTCAGTACATAAGCTTCAAGAGCAGGTGGGAAGGCTCTGAGATTCTCCTTAGAAAGTCCTCACCTGTGCCTAGGGCATGATATGATTTTCTCTAGCAACTTCATATCTGAGCTATTTTTTAGTAAGGTCTTTGAGTTGTCTTAAGTTGTTTATGGACAGGCTGTTTGGGGGGGTTCAGGGTGAGAAATATAGATCTAGTGTTTATTGTTTCATATATGGGTACCCAGTTTTCTCAGACCATTCGGCAAAGAAGCTACCATTCCTCCAGTGTGAATTTGACACCTTTGTCTGTGATTGGATGACTGTATTATGTTCTGTAATTTCTGAGCCCTACTCTTTTCTATCCTCTCCTTTCTTATCTTACCCAATATTATTTTATTCTATTCTATTCTCAGTACAATACAGTTTTTGTTGCTATAATTTAATATCACTTGCAATCAGGTATTATACATCCAACAGCACTCTTTATGCCTATCATTGATTTGGCTGTTTATGGGTCTTTTGTGCTTTTATGTAAATTTTCAAAATTTTTTTTCCAATAGTATGAAGAATGGTGTTAGAATTTTGGTGGGAACTGTGTATAAACTCTAAGTTATAGACTAGATAATACAAATAATATAACCTAGGTAATACAGCTATTTTGAATATAAGAAATACAATAGAGTGATACTTTGGGGAGATTATACTATGCTGAACAAATATTTATTTTTATTTTGAGATAGGCTTCACTGTGTACCTCTGTCTGGACTTGAAATATGAGGCAATTCTCCTGCCGTAGCTTCCCAGCAGCTATCATTACAAGTGTGCATCATAATATCTGGCCATGATGAGAGAAAAATATTAAAATCGTATTGAGGGGAACTTAGAAACAAGGAGATATGATCAAATCACATGAAGATTTTTTGAAATTGAAAATTGTGTAGCTGTCAGGACTACTTAAAGCAATAAAAATAGAACAAATGTTATTACAAATGTTTTGAATTTAAAAAAAAAGAGTGATCAAATTCCAGACTTTGAATTTTAAATTTTTTCTTTGCATTCTTTTTTATTCTGTATTGAGTACTTTTTAAAATAAAAGTTGTTTTTACTTTCAAAGCAAGGCTCATGATTTTTTCAGAAGCCTTAATGTCAATTTCTGTTTTCAACTTATAATGCAAACATAAAGGGTATACATGTATATGTGCTATAGTAGCCTCTATCAGCACTCTGTCTGGGCCTGTTAGTGCAAAACTATCTTTTCCTGGTCACAGAATAGTATTTACTTCTGTCTTTCGTAGGAGATATAACACACAATTATTTCTTCCCTTAAGAATTAATTCATCTGGATCAGGTGAATCAATCACTTGGCTTAGAGACCACCCCTCAAAAGGGCAGATACACTTAAAATCTTGCTAAAAGGATGAATTATTCCCTTAATGAAAAAAAGCACACATTTCTTTCCTATTATCCCTGCTACCAGAAGGTTCTGTTAGGTCTGTCTGTTCACTGTTCAGAATTCTGACTCAGAAAGGACTAACTTTTCCTTTGTCTTCTCTTTTCTTTCAGACTTTGGCCAAAGTACAAGTGTGCTTCCTCTGGCACTTTGGGCTTCTTGACTCTTAATCTGAAACAATCTCCTTTTTGCCCTGTGGTTGTTCATCAAACCTCTGAGCCTAAATCAAGAGTGCAAGCCTTCATTTCTTTTTCTCCTCCTCCTCCTCCTCCTCCTCCTCCTCCTCCTCCTCCTCCTCCTCCTCCTCCTCCTCCTCCAGACAGCTACTGAGATCTACAGCTCGCTCGCTCAGGGTTACAGGGAGGGGTTCTTTTACATTCTATAAAATTGTTCTCAAGCTTCCTCGTAAATCTATTCTTAATTTTTTAATTAAGGAAACTAAAAAGCCTGAGAGAAAACCCTGGTTTCCTCAATAACGAGGGGATTCTCTAGGTGAGATTCCTAAAAACTTCTGGTAGCATATGTCTGTTTAGCAGATTTATTACATACACATGTGTATACACGTATGTGTGGGTGTCCACATTTGTGTGTTTGTATGGAGGCCATTTCCTGGCACAGAAGGAATTTGGGAGCAGCCAAATAAAACTAGTGGATACACTATGCTCTGTTTCACATATTTCATGGTTGCTGACATAGGCTTGCATACACATGCTTGTTCTTTGCATAGGCAGATGCTAAAATTATTTATAAGACCATCACAATGTTCAGTGTTTCTAGGTGTTGGACTGTAGATTTTTTTCTTATCTAATTTTCTACACATTTCAAGCAAATATGACTATTTGGGGATGGAAGAAGTTTAACAAGCAAATCAACTTACATTGCTGGACAAATGGAGATAAATATTGATGGTTCTTATGAAATGTTCTGTCTTATTTTCTTTGCACATGAAAACTTGCTGAAGAGTTAGGTAATTTACCTGGTTCCCAGGTGTCCTGAAAGAATGCTTCTGCATAGGGTGAAGCAAAGAATCACACAACAAACAAATCCATTAGAACTTTGCACAGAAACCTTCCACTTTGCTTTAATTCTTGTTCTTAAAAAATGTAACAAGAAATGCTTTAGCTGATGTGAATAGACTGGGCAATTTTTCCCACTGTGCAATGCCAAAATTTTTATGAAATCTCCTCAGGCCAAACAATTTGTGCTTTTCACTTACACTGCGTCCTCGTTTGCAGTATTATTTACTAACTAGATTACAGCCTACTGCTCCTTCTAGCAACTCCCCAGCCCCACTCCTTCACTTTCTTCCTTTCTTTTATATGCAGGTTTCTTTTCCTCCAGCACGCTAGTGACTCAATCATTCAGATTTCAGTGTGGAGAAAAATAGCTACGTAGCAATCTGAAAACCACAGGCCAATGTCAAAGGTGTTTCTTAATCTGTTTCACAAATGATTATAACAACCGGGAAGTGAGTCAAGGGCAAGAAATCGCCTTTCCAGGAAGGAATGCTTTGTCCATTCGGGTCAAAGAAAAATCCAGCTCAGTGGGAATGATTATATTTTTTTTTTTATCTTAAATCTAAAAGACTAAAAGAAACACAAAAGAGAAATGTTTAGCATTGTTCTGTGAATATTTCAGTGTAGCCTTGTTAGGGAACTTGAATTTGCCTTGAACTAGAGTCACAAGAAGACAGAAAAAGATTGATATGGAAAAACATCTAGCTTGATTTAATTTATAATGTTTTTCTCTTGAGTATTATTATTTTATTTTATTTTATTTTGATTTTGGTTTTGGTTTTGCTGTTGTTTTATTTTAGATGATATTGTACGAAGTTAGATAGTCCTACCTGATGAAGCTTTACTTTCCTTGGGGATAGAAGAAATAATACTGAAATTCATCATACAAGTATGAGAATAAATATTTTATTCCAATAATACCACTTTTATGGATAATAGATATTGTAAAAATAGTAACTGCTTTCTAATATTAAAGATTTGATCTCTTTTGAATATTGTTTTTTTTCCCAAAATCAGAATGGAATTTGAGTGTTCACATCTGCGTTGACCCAACAGCTCTGCCAGTCACTGTTGATTTTGCACGTGGTTTGAGGAATCCATCCCATGTGCCTCACAAAGCCCCCTTGAGTCTACACAGTCTATATGCTTGCTGCTGTCTGCCCTAAGGCTTCTCCAGTATAGGGATGTGTGGGTGTGAGCGAGAATTCACATGGCACTCATTCATGGTGTGAATATTTTCACACAATAGAGAATGTACTCTAAGGTGGCAATATGTTGCCCTTCTTCTTGCAAGAGAAAACACCAGGGACTTATTTACTAATACCCCGGACAAAGATTAGCCTAACCAGCACTTGTCACTTGCAAAATGTCACCTTCTCTCCTCCACTTTTCCTTTCTATCAGTTTAGCTCTCTGGAATCATTTTCTAATCAAATTCTCCACAAGCAAGCTTTTGTTTCCCTGTATTCAGGGAAACTCCAGTTAAAACGAATACTTCAAGGGTAACTCCAGCAAACCACCAGACACGTTATGGACCAGGCCATAATGACCAGTTACTGATGGTTAGTGAAGAAGGCAAGCTTAGTGCTGTGGGGGGAAAAGGGTAAAATAATTCAATCCCTGGTAACGGGCAAAGAGACATCTTGGTGGTGTTGTTTTTATATCAGTCAGGGCCAGAGCAGATGGCAGTCCTTTGTTCATCCTAGCTTGATGCCTGGCTTAGTGACCAACACTGTTTTATGCCTAGGACTCATAAAAATCAAATCAAATCCAGGCAGTGTAGGGTGGAAGAAGGAAGACAGAGAGACCTGCAAACTACCATGCCACCCTGCCCTCCAGTGCAAGCCACAGGTGGGCCATAGACACCTGTTTGCCAACATGGCATGCAGTGTGGGTGGAGGGTATCACCCAGGGCCTGCCAGCCACGTGACTAGCCTGCTCCTGGAGCCATCATGAAGTTTGAGCACTCGGTGATCAGATGGTTGAAAAGAGACGTGTAGCAACTTGTGCATTATAAAGAGAGATGAAACTGGAGACTCAAGCATGGAGAGGAGGAGCCTATTGTGAGGAGTCAGCCCTGCTCCCTGTGGCCATGGTGGGGTCCTGGCCCAGGCTGCTGCTCTGAGTTCATGGCTATGTAGTGGCAGAGCTCGATGTGGATTCTGTGGCTCCTATTACTACTAGAGAACATGGGGATGTCCCTGATACCACTTGGATGTCTAGGGGCTGCAAAACTGGCCTCTCCCTGCACTGGATTCAGTACTCTAGAGAGATGGCCCTATCTCGCATTGTTGGCAGAACTTGGGAGAGCGAGCCTTATGATTCGCTCAGGCAGCACAATGAAGCTGGCCCTGATGGTGAGAGTATGTGTGAGCCTTACCTGAGGGCACAAGTATGGGAGAGCTGACCCTACCACTCACCTGCCGTAAGGTGGACTGGGCATAGAAGTAATGTTCTGGACCCCTGCTCCTCACCACCTCTGGGATTCAGGAAAGCTGCCCATAGGGTCATGTGCTCTGGAGAGTTATCCCTGCCCGTCCTCAGCTGCATCATTTGGGAGAGCAGGTCCTGAACCTCACCTGGACAGCACAGTAGAGACAACCATGGTAGAGGTGGTGCAGGTGGGCAAGCCCAAAGGGCAAAAACATGGGAGAGTTGGCCTCATCACTAATCTGCTGTGAGGTGGCGTGGGTGCAATGGTGATGTCCTGCCCCACCCACTTCTCACAACCTGTGGAAGTAAGGAGAGCTGGCCCAGGGGTCTTGAGAGCAGGTGAGCTGGTCCCCGTCATGAAGTTGGCCCCGCCCACCACCAAGGTCAGCTGTACTGTGCTGTTCAGGCAGTATAAAGGGCTTGCTCTTCCAAGTGCTGTAGCTGGTGAGGGGAAGGGCTAGCTTTCCAGATCTCATGACCCCATGGACAGCTTCTCTGAATGGCATAGTGGCAAGTGGCATCATCACCTCTATGACCGTATCACAGGATGGCAGACAAGTGGTCAGCTCTCCCACACTCACGCTTTTTAGGGCAAGCTCACTCACACCCTTGCCATTAAGGGCCAGCCTGTGCTGCCTGAGCGAGTGCTGTAGCATTTGGAAGTGAAGGCCTTGCACCTCTCCTGGTCAGCACATTAGTGCTAGCCTCTCAGGGGGAGATGGGTGATCCAGCTCTAAGAATGAGAGTGAGAGAAAGCTGGCTATGCTATTCATTTACCATGAGCTGGTGTGGGGGTGGGGCATGCCCTCCTGCCCTTTGCCCCTCACTACCTGCAGCACTTGGGAGAGCTGGCCCTGGGGTCATGAAAGCAGGAGAAAAAGCCCTCCTTCTTCACTGGCTGTAGTACCCAGGAGAGTGAGTCATGAACTTCACCTGGACAACACAATGGAGCTGGCCCTGATGGCTAAGGCAAGACTTAGCCAACCCCAAGGATGTGAGAACAGGCTAGCTGGCCCAGCCCATCACAGGCTGCAGTATTTGTGAGAGTGGGCCTTGACTTGAATGAGCAGCAGAGTGGAGCTGGCTTTGGAGGTGTGGGTGCAGATGAGTTGGTCCCCAGGGCACGAGAGCAGGAGAGCTGACCCTGCCTCCTGCTGGCCTAGCTAGAGAAGTGCTGGAGAGCTTGCCCTGGAGGTGTAGACAAAGGAGAGTCATTGGGCTGACCCGTTCTGCTACCACTCAGGCCCAGATATCAGGACTCTGGGAGGGCTCTTTCCAAAATCTATATCATCTATGAATGATGGAGACATGTGGAAGGGCCAATCCTGCTGGTCCAAAGCTGCAGGATCTCCATGACACAGGGAAACAACAGGGTGAGTAGGAGTAGGCCCAATGAGGATCCAATTTTGATGGAATCTCAGAAGCCAGAGATCTTGAACCAAATCAATGACTCATTACAATGAACACTTGCAAGTGAAGATGTGTGGACAGAGGGATAGACTGTGGGACACACTGTGGCATACTACAGCTTCCACAATGAGATTTTTTTTGCTGTTGGTGTGTGTGAGTGTGTGTGTGTGTGTGTGTGTGTGTGTGTTATTTGCAAGGAGAAGTTGCAATGGCAAAGGGAAGATGTCCAGGGATGTGGAGATGGCTGGCACTGTGATACATGGTGTGAAACTCACAAAAAATCAATTAAACGCTAACAAAAATCAAAAGAATTGAAAATGAAATAAAATAGACTTTATTGATGATCAAGTAGATTATGGGAATAGACAACTTAGAAAGAGAAGCTAACTATTACAGCTTGGTACAATTCCAATGATTTCTTAGAATTTAACTTTCCCCTAAAAAACCCACAAAAATATTGATTCCTGAAATGTAGATATCAGTGCAGTGGGTTTGGGCCAGTCACTACCTCCTTGCTACTACAGCTTAGATTCTTTCCTCGGGTGAACTTGGGACTCTTGATCACAGAAACGATTTCCAAGATGAGTCAGTATAATGCAGGGTCAGCGTTATCAGAAAGCTTAACAAACATTTATGCATGGGGTTAATAGAAAGGTACTCTGGGAAAGGATAATGAATATCCAAGTGTGGATGTGGGTTTATCAAGGGAGAAGAATGCTTATGTGGCATAGTAATGTCATTTTGGTGACTCTCAAGCAAGTTATGTCTCAGTTGCTATGAAATATCTTCTCCCTCCTTTTGATAGGAGAGCCTCTGATGGTGCCTTGGACAGAATTACAACTGATAAGGTAAAACCAATGCATGAGGGTGTTGAGGCACATATTTTTTTTTTTACCGTGAATGCAGATTTTGTGAGACTCCTCAAAAAGTGTAGGTTTATAGCTAGAAAGGATAAAGTCTTTAAGCATGATTTATTGCTACCTGATGTTCTTAAAAGCATTTTATATAAAAGGAGTCATGTTTCTGTATATGTAATCTTCAAGCAGACACTAACTGTACTGGAATTCTCTTTTAATGTTTTCATTTATTCTTTAAGAATTTCATACATACATATTTAAATTAAACTCAGCTCTTACTTCTCTCTAGACTCTTCACAGATTGATCCATGTCTGCATCCCACCTTTATGTCCTCTTTTTTCTTTCCTATAACTCACTTGGTTCAATTAGTGCTACCCATATAGGCATGGTCACAGCACCAGCCACTAGATCATAAAGAAAACTGACCCTCCTCGTCTCAGCTGCCATCCATAGTCAATATAGTCACTGCTCAGGCAGAAGTGAGGCTTCATGAACACACCCCCATCCTTGCTGGAATGTTTACTGGTCAGTCATCCACAGCTTCTGTGTGTTTCTAGGTGCAGGTATGCTGTCATGACCATAAGATGCTGTTCAACCCTGGTTCTCACCTACATCTGGCTCTTACATTTTCTGTGGTGTTTCCTGAGCCATGGGGCTCAGCATGTATCAATATCTGATTTATGGCTGAGCACTCCATAGACAGTTATTCTTTGCCTTTTGACCAGCTGAGAGTGTTAGGTCCCAAAGAAACTCAGGGTAAATAACCAACTAGGATGCCTATTAGAATTTGAAACTGGATGCTGGCCACCATAGTCTCCCAGCACTATAAGTATCTGTTACAGAGTCTGGTTTCTCAGAAATTCTCACCTCCCAACCTTCTATCTTAAACCTCTCTGGACTCTAAGCTCCTTTCCCCAAGCTTCCCTTTTTTCTATTTAACCAAGCCATTTTGGCCACAAGCTCTCTCAGTTCTCTTTGTCCTCTTGATTGCCTTGGCCTCGTGGTTCTTCTCCTTCTCCTGGTCACCTCTCTTATCCCCCTTTTTTCTCTCCTTCTCTTGCCCCTATCCCACACCTCTCATAGCCTTATCTGTTCTGCTAGCCATGTTCAGCCTGAATGCTTCTAGATGCATCAGTCTGTTTTCTCTCTCATATCTACAATAAAAGCCTTACCCTCACCCAGCCTTTGAAGTGGTCATGCCCTCATTTTCACTCAGTGAGCTGTGTTAAGAACTGTCCATTGCACAAACACGCTTCTTTGATGATGACAGAGAGCTATACTAATCTATACGTATTTAGAAGGCAGTTCAACGCTGTTCAGCTAGAAAAACAGTAGTAGGTTCATCTCAGAACAATGAGTTCCTCAGGTAATAGTTGGAGGTCAGATATTAAAAACAGGCATGTGTTCCCTTCTGTGGCATAGAGCTTACATTGAACCAGACAATAGTTGGTTAACTCCATGCCTCTATTGCACCCAGGGTGTGGTGATTTGAGTAGGATTGGCTCCCATAGACTCATGTATTGGAATGATTGACCCACAGGGAATGACACTATTAACAGGTGTGGCCTTCTGAAAGTAGGTGTGGTCTTGTTGGAGGAAGTGTGTCATTGTAGGGGTGGGCTTTGAGATCTCCTATGCCTAAGCTCTGCCCTGTGTGGAATCAGAGCCTTCTCCTGGCTGCAAACTGAAGACAGCAGATCCCTTTTGCTGCCTGTGGATCGAGATGCACAGCTCTCAGCTCCTCCAGCACCATGTCTGCTTGCATGCTGCCACGCTTTCTGCCATGATGAGATTGGACCGAACCTCTGAACCTATAAGCCAGCCCTAATTAAATGTTTTCCTTTATAAGAATTGCCTTGGTCATATTGTCCCTTCACAGCAGTGAAGCCTTAACTAAGACACAGGAGCATACACTGGTTAGCTGGTTGTTATTGTAATTTGCAAGATCATGAGCTGGCTAAGACTGTTCATGACTTTCTCCCATAGATGCCTTTGCAGCATCTTCTGGTACCATGAAAGCTAGCTATGTGGGAAGAAGCTTCTAAGTTTGTACCA